CTACTACTATATAGTAGCTGGCATGGCTTGCTCCTGTCAACATAGGTAGGTGTACGTAGCTAGGTAGGAAGTGCGTGGTGAGCAGCAGCAGCGCCGGATGCTGTATATATCCGGTAAGCTTTGTGCTAAACTCGCGGCTCTGTTGCCGAACTGTCGGTTGTAGGCTCGTCCAGGTCGCTGCAGGTTAGCCGTGTCAGCTGAAATCTGTTTATATTTCCTGTCTATGTCTATTACAGGTCGAACTAGTATTTAGTATATTAGTTAGCCGACGGCTTGCGACTACTGTTGGTCTCTCTATCCATTTCTAGGCTCAGACCTACGTACCATCAAAATTGGTAGGGAGCCGCCACCCCATCCAGCAACAGCAGAGCCGCCCGCGTAGCCCAGCTCGCGGCACACGACGTCCGCCTCCGCTGCTCCAAAATAGTCATCACTGCGATCACATATGTATGGAGGTCACGGCATGCATGCATGCATGTATGGCGCATATGCACCACGCAACCACGTAATCCAAGCCTCCGTGTACATATGCATTACAATCTTTTATATGGATACGTGTATCTTAAACACCTGTACGTGCTTGTTTATATCTTCCTCGCCTTCCTTACCAAACAGTGCCCCAGGTAGTCCCGTTGTATATCTCCACGCGGCCCTGGTCTGGCGTGCTGCCACCTACCAACCGCAGGGTAACGTCTACACACGCACACATGCATAGGGATTCGAGGCAAGCAACAACCGTTACTGGACATGCATGCTTGTCTGCAGGAGACAGGTCGATAGATAGAAGTAATGTCTGGGGCAACGTCAACGAATGCCATACATGCTTGCTAAATCAGATCTGATCTAAGAGCTAGATGGACTCACCGGCGGTATTGCAAACGACCCCCACATCCTGCGGCGAGGGCAGAGGGTCCCGGTTAACGGGGTACAAATGAGTTTCAAACATTGCGCGTAAAAACATTTAAAAAATGTTCGTACAGAGTTATTAATTCCCAGTGACGAGTTATTGCGATTCCGTCCGACGTCGACGGGAATTCATTCATCCGTTGTGCTTGCCGAAGTACACACAGTGCAATACACATTTCTAGTATTATAATTATTTATAGAAATTTTCGCATTGCAGTTGCTTGGTCAACTTCTAAATACATATGCAGCACGTGCTGCATACATGCGTTCACATGTAAGCTACTATGCATGAAGCAAGCAAGCAACAAATCCGCCTGCCGACCTCTCGGGGTGTTTGAGAGGTGATGAAATGGGAGGTGGCCCCCCATCTTGTGGACGGTGTAGGACGTGATAAAATCAACTCGCGAGCTGACCAGGAACTAAGTTGACGCGCCGTTGATCCGCTAGATTTGGTTGGATGCTGGTGGTGAGTTGCCGAACCCAACGAATACACTCTGAAGTCGGATGGGGTGAATGGCTTAGGGTGCCCCTCTAGCAGGGGAGAGCAGGGAATTGCCTCGGGAAGGAGGCCACTGGTGAAGCTTAACCACCCTGTAACAACATCAACAAACGTCAAGATCAGCAGTCCATCCTCGCACATCCGCATACACATCCGCAATGAAGAATCCCGTTTGGTGCAGACTCAACATGCTGCCCCCCATATGCTGTTCAGGCACACGTTCGGTGCCTACGTGCGTACCCTCACACACATTAGAAGTACATACATACATACATCAGGTAGGCTGCTAGCCTACCAGGTATGGACGGGCAACTAAGTAACGTATGATGGGTAGTATGAGCGTGGGAGTGTTAACGAACATGTCTTATTCTTTTGAAAGGTTCAATTTTATATTACTGTATGTATGTGTTCTGGGTGAAACGAAAGGAATCCAAGGAGGTTTCCTGTGTATTTGCCGAGAGCGTACTCGGTTGAATGTGTTTATGTAAACCACTGTGTATGGTCATGTACGGCCCGTACATGATCACACCTGGTCTGTTCATCCTGATGCGTGTCCTGAGTGAGAGAGTGCTCACCTCCGTATGAATGCAATTGTGGCGTTCCCATCCGGCGAACTCGCATTCGCCCAGGCTTTGTGGCGGAGGTACCGTCGTCCCATTGCTGCTTCTCGCCTTGCAGGAGACATCATCCTGAGGGGGGGGGCGGGAAGCAATAAGCGGTTGCAATAAGCGGTATATACACTTGTACCGGGTGATGTACTGATCTGAGTTCGATTGTGTACGCTGTGACGCACCATTAGTATGGGTACTGTGCCGCCGCCCCACGTCCGAGCGGAGCCGCCTGTGTAGCCCAACTGCCGACAGACCACATTGGCTTCCACGTCGGAAAACATGTCGTCACTGCACGTGCATGTTGTATGTGCGTGTGTACATATGTGTTATGTGCGCCGACGAGCGAACAACGAGACAGGGCAGGATCTGATCTGACGGGGATGGAGTGCCCCCCCTGCCAGGAGTACTAGTACCAGTGCCGGTCGATCGGTACCTACAGGGATGGACCTACCTACCTACCGGGGTGGGTGGATGGACAGTTAGCGGTTAGTTCCAAATCTTGCATGCATGATGCATGTATGCATGATGCATGATGCATGTATGCATGTATGCATGTATGTACGAACGAATATCTAGCTTCTGTAATGCAAGGCAGCGGAAGCGCCTCTATACCAAACGAATCTGCAAGCAATGCAAGTAATGCGTAATGGAAGCAATGGAAGTACTGCGTATTTCCCCTGGTCAAGCAAACTGAACTGACGCACGCGCGTGATTGCAAACGTGCGTGCGGCAGTTATTAAGCCTATTTACTTGCTGCTTGTTGTCCGCCGTTTACGCAATTCGTTCCAGCGCGATACCAACGGCGGGTAGGTGCTTACCAGACAGTGCCCCAAACCGCCCCATTGAAGATCTCCACGCGGCCCTCGTTCACCGCGTTGCCACCGACAAGTCGCACCGGGTAAGCATCTGCATGCACTCGACCAGCACAGCAGGACATGGACAGCCTCCCCTTATTAGAGCGATGTTGCGTACGTGCGTGATCTAATATAGCTAGCCCCTTATTATGGGTGCGTGTACTTAAGAGGGGACAGACGGTACTGAGTGGAGAGCATCCATGGCGTCATGGCCTTGGCACCTCCTCTGCCACCGTATACTGCGAACGCACTACCCATACACGCATCATCTGCAGCTCGTTGTGAGCGAGCGTGTGGACGGCTGCTTCGTTGTTAGCTTACCGCGGCTACAGACGACTCCAACATCCTGAAGGGAAGACACGCACATGCACATGCACACGCACACGCACACGCACACGCAAAACGAACATCCAGATGGCAAATGGGTTCGTTTGTTATTAGCTGAAGCTAGCTGGGGAATCACCGTGTAGGTATACATACGCGAGATACATACATGCAGGTACACATGCGCGCATGCGATGAAGAGGCAGGTTACATACATGCAGATTTACACAAGCGTCCGATGGCAAAATGTTTGATCGTCTATAGACGGATCGCGCCCTGGTAAAGTAGAATGCAATCCATACGTACGCATGCATGCACGCATGCATCCTCACCGCCGCACGCGCATGTCTGCTGGTCTGGTTACACAGCTCAATGGTGGAGTACATGCGTGCCGCGATCATCCCACTTATTATTACATACATACCTTGCGACGATCACAGTTCTGCATTCCCCACGTGCTGAGACGACACTCGGATAACGTCCGGGATCCGTTACCCAGACAGGTGACATCCTACACATACACATGCAGCAGCAGCAGGTAGCCTAACTAAAAGTGGATGGTCTGTACAGTGTACAGTAATGGTGGATGGTTACATCGTAGAAATGACCACGTGATCAAGTGGCCCAGAAGCCTCCCACTCTGTAACATTACATTGACATTAACATAGCACGACTACAACTGCTACAGAAAAGACTGATCGGCGGATGCAAAGTCCGTGTTGATGTTGTTACAGGGTGGTTAAGCTTCACCAGTGGCCTCCTTCCCGAGGCAATTCCCTGCTCTCCCCTGCTAGAGGGGCACCCTAAGCCATTCACCCCATCCGACTTCAGAGTGTACTCTTTGAGTTTGGCAACTCACCACCAGCATCCAACCAAATCTAGCGGATCAACGGCGCGTCAACTTAGTTCCTGTGCTATATGCCTGGAATACTACAATCCATCAATTACGGTGGACTGACGGACCTGAATTCACTTACGGAAGTCTTTCGTTTCCCCCCGAGTAGTAGTAGTGTGATGCATCGCTTTTCCCGCCCATGATGTTGAGCCCCATCCGATCGACAACGGTGACGCTGATGACGGCATCACTGGTGTCGATCGGATGATTGACGTAAAACTTGCAGAAAATGTCCATCACATACGGACGCGGTGTTACGCGGCGTCGGCTAATCACGGTTGAAAACCCCGCAAGTACGCATTATTGGCAGCATGCAACAGTGGCTGTTGCTGGGCGGGTGCGCGTACATAATACATGTCACTGAGGCGCGGCAGGAGAGAAGCGACTATAGAGCTCTACACAGCTTCTAAGTTAGCCTGCTAGGTTTTTAACGGTAGCCTGTCGGCTTGTCAGTTCGTTAGTTAGCCTGTCCCGCCGTTTGCCCTAAGCTTTTTCCTGCAGCTGGTTTGTTTGGAGCCAGCAACAACAGCCGAGCCATGAGCCGACTAAGGCTATAGTTCAGAAAACGAGACGAGACATCATGTAAAGAGGACACATCAATGTTAGCTGCAGGTAGCTGTGGGTGGCGATCGCCACGAGCTATTGCGATAGCTCGCTCGGCCGTCACGTATAGGGTTTCGCGCATCGCACATGCTGCATGCATACCGTTAGGATTGGTTCAATGCCGCTAGCCCACAGCGGCCTCGCGAAGCCGCCAGTGAAGCCCAGCTCCCGGCACACGACGTTCGCCTCCGCCGAACCAAACGTCTGCTGCTCACTATTGTCACTGTTAAATGCGCGTTAGGAGTGAGGAGGCCGTTCCAAGAATTTCAGGTTAATTTTTAAGAACTCGTTAGTTAGTTATAGCATGAAAGCGATTTACTGACGTACATGCACAGGTGATGGATCCTTAGACGGCCATGGATCAGATTAGATTCGGACGCATGAGCTGCACTGCACATGCTAGCTAGCTGCGGTGATGAGGTTGATGCACGGATATTATTACTACTAGTAATCGCCCCCCAAGGAACACTACTGGCCCCCTCTGGTCTATGTCCCCTAAACCATTTTTATCCAATTTGAGTAATTTATTTCGCATCGACAACCCTAGGCCTGCACGTACCAATTAAATAATGAGGTACGTATGGTGTGGTGGATAGATAGCTGCTGCAGGACCCCCCTGCTGCGGGACCCCCATATCTATCACTCCCGGCGGCGCCGGCGGCGGAATGAACACCTACTACGTACATGCAACATGGCCCCCCTAATAACTTCACACATATTCCGGCAAGCAGCACCCACACGTCGGTTGGTCCGCTGGCTCTACCCTTTGTGAGTCTGGAGCCCACTGTAACCACCACACACACACGCCGATGCCCTGAAGAGTCACGGAGTCCTCAAACCCGCAAAGCCCATACTCACCAGATGGTGCCCCACATGGATCCGCTGAACACCTCCACTCGACCCTCATTTCGCGCGCGGCCCCCGGCAAGTCGCACTTGGTACAGCCGGGCTGCAGCTGCATGCATGCACGTTCATCATCGCACGGGATATTAGATGCACGGGTGGTTCGCACCAATCAGCTTTACAGCTATTGCATCTATCGCATACATGAGCTGTGGGACGACTTCTTATATTCTTCTTATATTAAATATATCGTTCGGTAGTGAGCGAAGCAGCTAAGGTGAACAGACAAGGAACGCAGCCTACACGCACGCACGCACGCACTCGTATGCATGGCCATCAACATAATACATATTGAAGGTGAAAGCACGCATAGATTATGGATCGAAGGAGCCTCCGGAAGTGTCGCACTAATGACAATTGTATGGTGCCTTTTCAGGACATAACAATTGGATTATGTTATACACGAACGCACACACATTCAATCGATTCATTGCAAACAGCAAGCGTAAGCCGCATCAGGCAGCCCTGGCATGCAAATACATACGTCTGTATGTCATGTATGCATACTTTCGGCAGACAAGACAAGGACTTGGTTAGGAAATAGGTGTCTACGTACGTACGGGGGCTGACAAGCGATTAACCTAGCTAGCCGTAAATAACAATGAATTGCAAGCGCGGGAGTATCACAATCACGCACGCCATAGATTTGCGGGCCGACACATCTGTGTGTGTATGTACGTATGTCGTTCCTTCTTACTCTGCGGCACACTTGATGGTCGCAGGCCTGCAGCAGCATACCGGCAGCAGCAAGGCATGAACGGCAGGGCAACGAATGGAATCGGGCGTCGGCATGTATGCATGGGTGATCGGCATATGGAGCTCGAGTAGCTCGAGTAGCTCGAGTAGCATAAACATGCGGCCTGCATGGTGGATAAATAATAATAAATAAAATAATAAAGGCGGGTGCAGGCACGGTAGCAGCAATGGTATTTCTGCGGTAGCGAATGCTAACGCAGCAGCTCATACATTATTTATTATAGCAGCGTATATAAACGCTGTTATCTGCTAATTAGCAGATACGATGGATGGAGCAGCAGGTAGGCAGGAGGAAAAAAGTAAGACCCATTATTATTCTACATATGAAACGGTTCAGCAAGGACATACATACAGGCACTCGACAGCACACAACCGTATGTACATGGTTTGGGACATCGCCCCTACCAGTAATGAAGTGCCAAGATAGTTCAATTCATAACCTGCTGTAATCTCTTCAATTAAATTTAAATCTCTCAAATGAGTGCGCCGGCCGGTTCTGCAATCCCGGCGTGAGCGGCCGTGAAATCCGATGGCCACAGATTATGTACACGTACGTATTATCAAGCCGGCCGGTTCTCAGTTTGTGGTAGAGGCCTGCTTTCATTATTCTTCCATTATTAGAGCGCATGGAGCTCACTTATTATTTGTTCCGTCAGAAAAAAAAGGTGCGTGTGCATACTCGTATAGTTATCATGATTAGTGGGTAGTAAGAGGTAGAGGTAACAGGACGACTACTGCAACCGACTGACGACCGACAGCTGTAGCACACATACAGTACCTGAAGCATAATAGTACGATGTCCAATAGATAGATCCGTCAGCGGCTACCAGCTCAAGCCACCCTATCTCCGTAAGCCTGGCGATGTAGGGCCCGGGAAGCCTGCCAATGCTGCTTGTTGCCACACCGGAACTCCACACCGCTCTGTTTGCTCCATCCAACACCACCAAGTTAGCATCGGAGCTCTGCATATCACGGAATATCGTTGTCGACAGCGATCAGATGGACTAATCATCCGGTGCTGTGTTGCAACTAACCATGCAGAGGAGAAGGGGAGGGTGGGTGCAAGCGAGGCAGCTAGCTAGCATACGCACGCAGCACAGCAACAATGGGGGATTGCTACCTCAAGCTCGCTCGGTGCACTGAGTGCACCCACGTGGGGCTTCCAACAGAGCAGCTGCAATGATCAATCTCGCTACATGTACAGCTGTACGGCTACAGGACATCTGTTTCAAGCACTACGGGCGGGACAGACTGCTGTTGAGTACCCTCGCTAACTGGGGCTTCCAACAAGCCTTGGCAAAGCTGTTAAGCCTTTGTTGTTTTTGACGCCATAGGTATTATAACAGGCTTGTGGGATGCTGTTAGGTGCTGTTGGTTGCACATGCATCCTATGACTTGGTAGGGGTCAATAGAGGAGAGGGGAATCCTTAATCGAGAAGAGATGGCATGTGGTGGCGATGTGGGCGATGGTGAATGCTAATAAGCGACGTGTTGCAGATAACGTTTATAGATCAGCAAATCTAGAGTCAGCAGCGACATCAAGTGCTGCCGGATGATGGAGCACAGGGAAGCGTATATTCAAAGCAAGCGTGGATGCCTATGGAGGCTGTGGAGGCCTGTGGAGGCTGTGGATGCCTGTGGAGGCTGTGTGCACGTGCCCCGCTGTGAGCCGCCGGCTGCATTACATTACATTCCGCCAGTTACCCGCAGGAGCATCTTGAAGGGGCCGGGGCTGGTGACTCTCCCATTGAGATCCGTCTGGTTCCACACGGGGATGGATCCTGGCTGGCGAATGATGACAAGGTCGCCATCCGATTGCATGCACAGCTGGAAGGTCCCCGACGGCGACCTGATGCACTGTCCCTGATTCAAGTTCACGTCCTGGGGCCAGGATCCTGGATGGGGTTACATGTTTGGATGGGGAGAGGGCCGGCGCGCAATGTATAGTCGAAGAAAACTAGTCGGTGAACATAATCATGTACATGTACATGTGCCTATTTGACGCCATTCTTCAAGCACAGCGCAGCAGCAGTAGGGCCTTCAGGCGCCATGGGGCCCTACTGGACGTCGCTTCATGGTGACCTCATACCTTGCTTGGTGAGAACTGTATACGCATACAAGTATGATGTGTGACAGGTGGGTCATATCTTCAACCTGTGGCCGCTACCCGCCAGACCCTTCCCCCTTCCCCTTCCCCGGCCTTCAACGGCATTTCGGGGCACCCTCATCCAGTCACCCTAGCCAACTTCTCAGTGGATCGCTTAGGTTCCGCACCCACCACCGGCATCCAACGGAATCTGCCGGATCGACGGCGGCTCAACTCCATTCCTGGTCAGCTCGCAGGTTAACTTTATCCCAGGTCACCACCGTCCATAGACTAGGGGCACTTTTACCTTCCACCATCGGAAGGAATTTCGACCCTGGTAGGTTTCGATCCCGGAACCTCCGACGGCATTGGTGCGTGCTCTACCAATAGTGCCTGACTTAGTATAGTGACAAGTATTCATGGGGCACCTATATCCGCCATATATAAGTTTAGAAGCAACGGTGCTACATATTTACCAAGCGCTCCGTCCGCTGGGGCCCTACAGATACGTGGTGGCTTTGTGGCTGGCTTTGTGGCTGGCTTTGTGGTTGGCTGGCTGGGGCGGTGATGATTGCTGTGGAATGGAATGTGGGTGCGTGTAGAATTCACCGGACGTGCGAATGCTGAAAGCGCCTTGCAGACTGCTGCCGCTGAAGATCGCAGTTGCATGAGTGTGCGTATTTGGTAATGTGCGCGAGTTCACCTACCTGGGAGTGGTGGTGGTGGTGGTGGTGGTGGTGGTGGGGGCGGACGTGGTGGTGGTGAAGCTGCATTCGAACACGTCCATACAACATGATCCGCGTACCAAGTGGACGATGTGAATCGTATGGTGGATGCCTGGCCTATCGCTGCCGGATCCGGTCCGTACGGCCTGTGTACTGGCAGCCACCAAAACTGCTTTCTGCTTCTCGATCCAGATGCTGTCAAGAGAGCTTTAGCACGTTCGCATAGTCTGCCTAAATGCCGTATTGTGTACGGCATCTATTGCACTACTTCCTTCATAAGGTCTCCCTCTCACTCCGGGCCCCGCGCACGGCTACTACGCCAGCCTGTGCATACCTTCATCAGCTACAGGAGGCAGCAACCGGCGTGGCTATCCGAAGTAGCAGAAATGCTTTCGAGAAAACCCTTTGATTTCTTTATGTACTTGAAGTAAGGAGTCCCATTATTCGTTTCCCATTTTTATTGCGTCTTGCCTGCTGACTAGTCGTCGCGTGTTAATAGATGTGTGTGCCCTACTATACGGCAGCTACTACTATATGCCCTGGATTTCTAAAAGGTTTTCCTACCTGGCGGCGGTGGCTGTGGTGGTAGTGGTGGTGGGCGTGGTGGCGGTGGTGGTGGTGGTGGTAGTGGTGGGCGTGGTGGCTGTGGCGGTGGTGGTGGTAATGGTGGGCGTGGTGGCGGTGGCGGTGGTGGTGGTAGTGGTGGGCGTGGGGGCGGTGGCGGTGGTGGTGGTATGGTGGGCGTGGGGGCGGTGGCGGTGGTGGTGGTAGTGGTGGGCGTGGTGGCGGTGGCGGTGGTGATGGTTGTGGTGGGCGTGGTGGCGGTGGCGGTGGTGGTGGTGATGGTGGGCGTGGGGGCGGTGGCGGTGGTGGTGGTTGTGGTGGTAGTGGTGGCTGTGGCGGTGGTGATGGTGATGGTGGGCGTGGCGGCTGTGGCGGTGGTGATGGTTGTGGTGGGCGTGGCGGCTGTGGCGGCGGTGATGGTTGTGGTGGGAGTGGTGGCGGTGGCGGTGGTGATGGTTGTGGTGGGAGTGGTGGCTGTGGCGGTGGTGATGGTGATGGTGGGCGTGGGGGCGGTGGCGGTGGTGGTGGTTGTGGTGGGAGTGGTGGCTGTGGCGGTGGTGATGGTGATGGTGGGCGTGGCGGCTGTGGCGGTGGTGATGGTTGTGGTGGGCGTGGCGGCTGTGGCGGTGGTGATGGTGATGGTGGGCGTGGCGGCGGTGGCGGTGGTGATGGTTGTGGTGGTAGTGGCGGCTGTGGCGGTGGTGATGGTGATGGTGGGCGTGGCGGCGGTGGCGGTGGTGATGGTTGTGGTGGTAGTGGCGGCTGTGGCGGTGGAAATGGTGATGGTGGGAGTGGCGGCTGTGGCGGAGGTGATGGTTGTGGTGGGAGTGGCGGCTGTGGCGGTGGTGATGGTGATGGTGGGCGTGGTGGTGTTTGCCCTGGCAGTGAGAGGAGTGGTGAGTTCGAAAAGTTAGGAGCAGCAAACAAATGGAGCGGGTATGTACAGAACAGTCAATCAACACATTCAGTTTGTATGTATTAAGGATAGGGGCAATATAACGAAAAAATAAAGGACGAAAATTGTCGTAAGGAAATGGGCAAAACGTTAACACAGCATCATACATACACGCTGGCACATAAACCCTGGCATACGTATACGTCAAGGCAACCTCTGCTGCACATCGTCGGTGTGAGCCGCAGTTACCGCTGTTATGGACCACGTTGGGCTGAGATAAGGCTTACTTGCACGCTTTTTATGAACCCTATTTCCGCTGCGTCACAGTACACTACAATCGACACGACATGACCTTTGGCTTGCAGAAGGATGCCCACATACATACCTACATACCGACATACCGCCGGCACCAACTTTAAACTCCCAGTGGAAGCAAAATGAGCTGCTGCGGGGGTCCGAAACGACCACGACCGCCGACCGCTGCTCTAGGAGAGCCGACTTAGCGAGGCCCTCGGACGGGGTGGCAGCCTGGCCGACATCTACAGATCAATCCTGGTCAGCCATCGGCAACACCATGCATGGCCAGCCTGTTCACATGTTCGATAGTAACGCAGGTGCCACCAGTGCTAGCACTAGTAGGCTTCCGGGAACGGGTCATTAAACTGCTTTTTAATAAAAAAAACCACAAGCCCAATGTACGTAGTAGCTGTAGACATACGGCACATACACATATCTTCTATAAGTTTGCGCCAAGGCATTCCGCCAGCGGTTTGAGAGGCTTTTTCAGCGGCCAGCTAGTATACGTATACACCAAAGCTAGCTCCCGGGCGACAACCACCCCATCGTGCTGTTGTTTTAGGGCTGTCGGCTGCTCACTGCTATAGGTGCTGGCTGGCGAACTGCCTGTGCCCCGCACTGGGGCGGTTCAACACCCGTCAGCGCAGAGCAATCCGCAAGTTGCTTCCAACGTACCCAAGCGCCTTAATGGGGCCAGCTGCAGCAGCGTGTACTCTTCCTGCGCCACCTATACGAAACCTATCCTCATCTCTTCCGTCCGTAAATTGACAGATACAGCCCCCGGGGCTCTTGGCATTCCTCAGGCGCACACCGCGTACACCATTGGTCTCGATACCAGTTGTGGACAGTAGCTGGCTGGCGCCGCTGGAAAGGCCTCCCAGGCACCCACCCACCCACCCACCCACTCACCACGTGGCAGAGCGCTCTCCTGGCGCGTATCTATCGACTGTGTGTACACTGCACATATGCTACTGTACGACAGCTACTGCACCCTGCCTCGATGTTCTTTTGCTTATAGGGCCCAGCACCCCGTGCTGCAGCTGCCCACCGGGCCCAGGATGGATGGGTGGGTGGGTGGGTGGATGTCCGGGCAGGTATTCCTGGATTAGATTAGAGCGCTACCGGCCTCTACGGACGTGAGCGGTAGGAAGCCGGTGGCGGCTGCTATGACGGACGTATGGAGATGAACCAAACAATGCATTGACGCTCGCTCCTACTACTAAGGAAAGATGAGGGTGCTGTAGTTCTCACAATGCGCCGCAAGCCGCAAAGAACGCCTTAGGCACTGATGAGCTGGCGCCCGGCTGGTTCTTCGGCCCATCCGCTCCATCACCCTGCTCCGGGCTCTCGTCGTCTTGCTTCCTCCGGGCAACCCATCTCGCCTCTTCCCGCGTCCGGCTTATCCTTCCTAGCTTCCGGACTGCATGACACAACTTGGTAGCCCCAACGGGTGTAGTGGAGGGGCCGTAGGCCTCACGTTGCCCTAAGGGTAGCATCCGCGCACACCGGACCCGTCACCTGCTTCACTCCACCGTTGGCGCCTTCGCCGTCATTGCGCCCCGTCGCACACTTTGCAAGCTATCCTCCGCTGCCGCTCCATCACTGATAGAAACCCTTATTGCTACCTTGTTACTTGTCAAATCACACACCCATGGATGTGCATGGGCGTCTGCTGTGGTGCTGCAATGCGGCGGTGCCGAATGATCACGCATCGGCATTATCGTCCGCGGGAGCGCAGCTGCTGCGGTGCCAGCTAGCCCTGGAGTCGGCGGCGGCGGGAGCGTCGGCGGCGTCTGGCGCACTGGGGACCACCTCTTGGACCCAGATGAGGTGTACGAAGGGCGTGGTCGGCTGGTTGGCGCGGCGGGGCGGTTGGCGAACACCGCGGAGCTGGATGCCGATCACCCAGCCAGGATGTCGCCCTTTGCCAACTTGCCCTTTTTCATTTGACCCTAACCCTTGCCCCTGGTGGTGGGATGTGCACCCGCTAGCAGGGGTGTGTGTACATGTGTACATGTGTGTGTACATGTGTGTGTACATGTGTGTGTGCACAGCCCCGCCCTAGCACTGTTCGCGCTGTGATGTTCTCGCTATTCCGGAAAAGTCATTTCTAACGTAATAGATTTGTCTAGGAAGAGATCTCTACAAACATCCGTCCAACACTATAATAGATTTCAACAATAAGCGTGTCCAGGTCGAGTTAATTTCTTTCAAGCTTATAATTTTAGGACGCATACCCGGTGAAGGTGAAGGTGAAGGTGAAGGTGGTGGCAGCAATGTTGACGCCGCCGGTTGTTCCGGTGGTGATGCTAGTCCTGCGTGCGTAAGGGCAGGACGAACGAATGAATGATGAAGTCAGGAGCGAGCGAGCGAGCGAGCGGGCGGCCATGCATGCAGGAGCCACCGGCAAAGGCGATACCAAATTATGAAGATCGACGTAGTTGGGTAGCTCTACGTCACCTACCAGAGCGGCATGCATGTGTTCATTCATGTATATAAAGAGACTGGCACCGACCCATCATAGCATGCACAGATGTTAGCCGCTGCCGCACGCTTACCTGCAGTCCAGTATATGGTTTTATCTGCAGCCATCAGCTGAATCCAACCCAATTCCGTCAGTCTGAGGATATAGGGCCCGGGGGGCCTGGGAATGGGTATTCTTGTTTCGGACCTCCAGATGACGAGGTTGCCTCGGCCCAACACCACCAAGTTGCCGTCCGAAGCCTGCAGGACTCAGCAGCAGCAGCAGCACGTACGACGGATTCTTTATTTGATTCTAACAAGGTAAACGGTATGCCGGCGCGTGAAATTGCTCGGCAAGAGACCAGCCATCGCAAACAAAGCGAAGGAAAAGCAATGTAGCTTACTACACATCATCCTGGGAAATACAGAACGAAACAGGCAGCAGGCAACCAGCAGCAGTAGCACTAGGTAGTTCATTGGTCAAAAGGTGCTGCTCCGTACCTTTTTGCATCAAACGTACAGGGCAGCAGCCGTACGACAGCAGCAGTACGATACACTTTATTTTTTATCCGCCCACTTATCTAGGTCATCTAGGCAAAAGCATGAATCTCAGGAACGAATCTAGCGTCGCATGCAGCGGGGATCGATGCATGAATGCATACCATTACATGCACAGATCGGTGGAAACGTAACAACGCGCTACGACTTACGTGCGTGCCTGCGTGTATATACATGTGTGATGTGTGAAACAGGGGGGTGTATCTTCGCCCGTGGCAGCTACCCTGCGAAACCCTGCCTTCCCGGTATTTCGGGGCACCCTCATCCAGTCACCCTAGTCAACTTCTCAGTGGATTGCTCAGGTTCCGCACCCACCACCAGCATCCAACGGAATCTGCCGGGTCGACAGCGGCCCAACTCCGTTCCTGGTCGGCTCGCGGGTTAACTTTATCCCAGGTCACCACCGTCCATCAACTAGGGGCGCACTGCCTTCCACCATCGGAAGGACTTTGACCCTAATGGGTATCGATCCCGGGATCTCCCGGGGGCAATGGTCGCGCCTTACCAGTAGTGCCAAACCCTATATACGATGCGTATGTGGCGGCATGCAGGGTGGCATCATAATGCATCCATCCCGCCCCTTATTACCTGCAGCGACATTTTGCACGGTCCAGGAATGCTAGGTGGCCAGGGTATTAGAGAACTTATGGACCACAAGAACGGGGGGTTGGGTCGGGGGAGGCCTCGGAAAAGTCCAAGGTTGCAGCCACTAGAAAACCCGAGCGTGAAGGAGCCCGACGGTGACGTTATGTACTCCCCTTCGTTCAAGTACTTCTCCTGTGGCCAGGTCACTGCGCGTATGCAGCACGACATCACGGGGGGGCTACCAGCGTCAATAAAGTGAAGTGGCTGATAGGGGGAAACGATTCCGCGTTATCCTTTCGTGGCAAATGGATGCTATGGATGCGGCGGCGTGGCGGGTTGGGATGGTTTGGCTCCATGCATGGTTAGTTCGGATGGGTTATACGTGGGTCGTGTGGTAACTGCTGGTGGCCGCTGAGAAGGCTGAAAAAGCTATAGAAGCTGGTGGAGCGCCTTAGCGCGTATTTGTATTTGATGTTTATGTCGTAGTATCTACAGGTACTTCATTCCCTCCCCTTTGAAGGGATCCGTCTCGGGCCCTTACGGCCACGTATACAACCAGCCTGTGCCTACCTTCGCCTACCCTCGGGCAGTGGTTGAGCAGTCCACGTCACGTAATGTGCCACAACCCACTACATGCGCTTATAGGCACAGAGTCTTCCTCCCAGCCATTCTCAGTTCACTCTGCAAATCCTTTTACAATACTTGTTCAGAGGATTGTCATGGTTGACCTTGTCGTCCGCCACGATATATCTACGTAATATGTACGACAGTCCTCGCTCAGGCCCTACAGCGCCCACAGTACTCCCTCGACGCAAGCAAATCACTTGACGGCCCTGGCCCTGGCCCTGGCGCACGTTCACCCCAGCGGGATCAGCGAAGCTCTCATATACATTTTACCCTCAAGCCTTTCGTTCCCTCGTTCATCCCCATGCATCTGATGTCTCACCTATATCTTCGTCTTTAGGGTACGGGCTCTGACTGTTTGATG